TTATGTAGTCGTTAATGATTTTTTTTAATGTTGAACTACTATAATTATTTAGCATTATATAATTGGACTAAGAATATAATGTAAATTTATATATAATAATTAATTGCACATATGTATTTGATTATTATTTCTCATCATTTTCACGACTCTCTTATAGCCATGGAATTTCTTACAAGTACGTACTCTTAAACTTATAATGTATTTGACATTTTTATTCAATTATACATACCAATCAAGGTATTATGACTTCTTATCTAATTCTATGCAAACCCATTTACAAGTTTTGAAGTTATTTTATAAAGGGGAAAATGTTTCTTAGGTCAGTGTAATGATTTATTTATTTTGACACTATATATTGCGTTTTATTTAATAAGTTCCAATTAAGAATAGGTTATTCCATGATCTTAGGCATAGTATATGTTAGATACTTCTTTATATGCAAAAATTATGTAAAATCAATAGATACTTTATAAAATGAAAGGTAATACTTGTCCTTCCAAGTAACTACTTTTTTTTATGTATTACTATAAAAATTAAGTCCTATTATTTGAATTATGGACAATAAAACTTTTTTTTTTCAATTGCATTACAACTATATTCACATAGATCTTGCACTTAGGGAGATTTTAACTGCCCGATTTTGCACACTCACACACGTATTATCATACGGTTAAAATTCACAAGTGCAAATAAAGTGAAATTCTCATAGTTTACGGTAAACTATTATAATAGTGAAATATATAAGTCAGACTAAACTTTGATCAATTAGGAAGCAAATGCAACGTTGCCACATTTATTTATTTAATTGATTGTCCCTAAAAAAAATCTTGCTCTCTCTTTCATGCTTTCAAAAAGAATATATACAAAAAAATGATAAAAAATATATAATTTCGTCAAATGGATATGATTTCTATTGTTGCTGTTGTAATCTGTATACTTCCGTCATCTATTTTAATTTTAATTTTTTGTTTTGTTTTATTTTGTTTGGATGTCGTTTACTTAATACACAACACAATCATTGACAATATCTCTTTAATGTCGATTCATTTATACTTTTTACCAGGATTTGATCTTTTTTGCATGTTTGTCAAGGAAGAAGAATAAACATCCCAATATGATTGAAGATTTTGGACTCTCACACTCTCACTATTGTTTCGCTCCAAAATTAAAAAAGCTACATTATAAAAAATTAAAGCTAAAATTTATGGCCCATTTACATTCTTTATGCAACTTTGCCCTTGGGAAGTAAAATAATTATTTTTCTACTAATTAGGCATGTTTTTTCCTTCATAATGAGCAATCAAATAACTTTTTCTCTATAGAGATAGAGAGTGAGGGTTTAAAGTTCATTTTTATGAAGGCTAAGGAAGTGAATGAAAAAGAGCAAGAATTATAAAGTGGACATTATAATGTGCCCATAGTGCTGATTTAATAATGCAGCATGTCACATTGTCATATCACATATGTTGATAAAAAGAAATGGGAAATTTAGATTTAACAAAAAATAAATAAAAAAAATGGAGGCTTTCTTCTAATTCTCCATGATTGGTAACACTTTGATACAAATTATTATAATTTTTGTACACTAACTTTGTTATTTCACATTATGACCCATTAATTTTTTAAGGTTACAATTTGATACAAAAACTTGTGTTTATTTATCAATTTCGTCCAATGATTTTTTTAAGGTTTCAATTTTGTGTTAATTTTGTCCAATCTTCATTTTCTTGCATATATCAAATCGAAGTTTTCGACTCGATTTTCATCATCTTGTTTTCTAATCGGTGACGATGCGGCCCAAAACTTTTAAATGCAGTTTAAATTCGTCAATCTCCTGTCAGAGATACGATTTTCAGATCTTTCTAAACCTTATATTTCTGAAATTATTATTTAATTAAGCTTCAAATGATATATTCTAATAAAAGATCGAACATTTAGATAAATCAGATTCTAATATTGAAATTACAACTTTTTGGCAACACGAATGCGCCGCAGTTAACTTCGATAACCAATTTACGGCCAACATGTTGTCCAAAATTAGAGAATGACATCTTATTTTGTTTGTCTTTTATCTGTGCTCAAATTCCTCAAATTTATTTGCGTTCGCAAATAAGAGTTAATTTTTATAATTTTAGTCACTTTTTTTTGGACGAAATTTACTAAAATTTAAAGTTAATATATATCAAACTGCAAATCCAAAAGTTTTTAGCAAAAAATGAGAAAAATCAAAAATACAAGGAAAAAAAAAAAAAAACTTATAATTGCTCTTAATTTTTCAAATTCCTTTCTATGTGAAAAAAGATTGTCTCTTTATTTATTACTACTTTTGCTGGTTTACAGTATATTTCATTTCCTTTGGACACTTTCTCGCGTCTATTTTACTGATATCACTTTCAGCACTGGCTCAAGCAACTGTTCATTACAGCCACATTAAAAATTTCTACATTTCCCATTCTTCTTTTGTCCAAACAATGGTAAGGCTTCATTAGCACAAAACCTTAAACCCTTTAAAGTTGTTCATTCCTTCACTCAACAGTGCTGCTACTAGAGACCTGTTGTTAATACTTAGTACACAAGTTCTCATATTTTTTCCCAATAAATTGATCAATTTATTACATGCAGGAAAGAGGAACAGAGCTTCTAGAAGGCTGCACGAAAGACGGTACAATCGACATGTACGGAAAACCGGCAGTCAGAGAAAAAACCGGTGGATGGAAAGCAGGATCACTTGTTCTTGGTAAAAATTTTATACCAAGTTTCTATTTTTATGTATCAAATTTATCTTGATAACTTCCTTTTTCTATTATTTGCTAATCTAACTATTAACAATATTCAACATTCTTTGTTCATAATATTGATCTGAGTTTGTCCTGTTTTTGAGGTGATTCTTGAAATAATAATGTTCATAAAAAATGTGTCTCAATCTTCAGTTTTTCTTACACTTTTTATTCAGTGAGTGAAGGACTAGCCGCGCTTGCATTTACGGGAGTCGAAGTAAACATGGTCGTTTTCTTAAAATCCGTATTGAGGCAATCAAATGCAAATGCTGCAAACACATTTAGCACGTGGATGGGTACTCTCAACATGTGCACTCTTTTTGGCGCTTTCTTGAGCGACTCGTATTTCGGGAGATACTTAACTTGTGTCGTGTTCCAAGCTGTTCTTGTTATTGTAAGTAGTGATTTTGGCATTATGAAGACATGATTTTGTAGTAAAAGGTTAGTGATTGTTGAAAGACAGAAAACAAACTCTTTGGTCTTTGCAGGGCTTGCTTTTGTTATCCCTTTCGACTCAAGAATTCATGCTCCACCCGAAAGGCTGCGGAAAAATAACCGAAATCTGCAACCCTCAATCGCAGCCGAAAGTCGCTAGCTTTTACATATCAATCTACCTTCTTGCGCTCGGGAGTGGAGCTATAGAGCCGGCACTCGCCACACTTGGAGCCGACCAATTTGATGAGGGTGACTCGAAAGAGAACAAGTCGAAAAGCGCGTTTTTCAGCTACTATTACGTGGCTTTAAATTTAGGCTCGTTGATTGCCGAGACGGTTTTAGTGTACATCGAGAATTTGGGCCATTGGGTGTTGGCTTTTTGGGTCTCGACGATTTGCGGTTTTCTTGCATTGATCTTCTTGCTGGCCGGAACCTTCCGTTACCGGCACACTCGGCCGGTCGGAAATCCCATTTCTCGATTCTGTCAGGTGATTGTGGCTTGCGTTCGGAAGTTGAAAGTCGAGGTGCCTCAGCACGGGCAGGGTTTGTACGACTCGGACGAGAAGGATTGCTCTGGCCGGAGATTGTCGCATACCGATGATTTCAAGTGAGTGTAAATGCAGGAAAATTATAGATTTAGTAGAGAAATAGTCCAATGATCGTGTTGATTTACAAAATAATTTGTAACTGCAAAAAACCTGACTTTTTGTCCTTCTATCTGTCATGTGACCGGTTGTTGACGTGGATATTATTTTTTATTTTTCTTTTCCATACACGTGGCAGCCAACTAACATTTTCAACTCAGCAGCCGGTCAATTTCTAAATTTGGTGTTAGTTACTGGACTAAATCTCCAATTTTTCCTGGAAATGCACATTTATTCTTCATTTCTTGATTATATAGTTACGTGATCGTCTTTATACGTGCTCTCATCTAAACAGAATTCTCGACAAGGCAGCTGTTGTAACCGGGCCCGACGAGCTCCGGAAGGGCCCGGCCCGAAACCCGTGGCGCCTCTGCACGGCTACCCAAGTCGAAGAAGTCAAATGCGTTCTCCGACTCCTCCCGATATGGCTCTGCGCAATCGTGACCTCGGTCGTTTTTGTCCAAGTCCTCTCCCTTTTTGTCGAGCAAGGCTCGGCAATGAACACTCGAATCTCGTCCGATTTCCACGTGGCGCCAGCGAGCATGACTGCTTTCGACATCGTGAGCACGTCGACTTTCATAATATGCTACGAGAAGTTGCTCGTCCCATTTTACGTTAAGCTAGCCAAGAAAGAGCCTCGAGTCCCGACCGAGCTCCAAAGGATGGGGATCGGAATGGCCGTCTCGATTGTCGGCATGTTGTCCGCGGGCCTCGTCGAGCGGGCCCGGCTAAGGCACGCGAAAAGCGGAGAGACGAGCTCGTTGAGCATATTCTGGCAAGTGCCGCAGTACGTACTTGTTGGGGTCTCGGAGGCGCTCGTCTACGTGGCGCAGTGGGAGTTTTTCGCGTCGCAGATTCCGGAAGGTTTGAAGAGCATCGGGCTCGGGATGTCCATGTCATCATCGGCTTTGGGAAGCTTTATGTGCAGCGTGATTTTGACGGTTGTGGTGAAGGTGACGTCGAGGGACGGGAGGCCCGGGTGGATACCGGCCGACTTGAACGAGGGTCATTTGGATCGGTTTTTCTTCCTCTCGGCCGGCTTGATTGCTTTCGATCTTGCGGTGTTTGTGGCGTGCGCGAATCGGTTCAAGTGTATGAAGATGGAGAAACGACACGAAGGTCGAGAAGTCGAGACGGGTGAGGCTTGATCNAAGGGAAGGAAGAGAAAACTGAAAACTGAAAAGAAGCATCAATCTTGAGAAGAACCTTTGAAAGTTTAACTCAAATGACATGCTAATGTTGATTTCAGATCACTTGGTTGAATACTTGAATGATGAAAATTTCCAAATTTATGTACCCAACTAATCATTCAGCAAAAAACCCAGAAACACATTATGAGCATAAATCTCCCGTAAGGCGATCGATAGTCTCAAACTCGATGAAAAACCGATCAACTTTATTCACGTTCAACATTTCAAGCCGAAAACAATGAAAACCAAAGCAAAAATAAGATGAAACGCAATCTGAAATGCTCGAAATGGCGAAGTGTCTCAATGTTTCGGAGGATTTAAGTGAAATTTCATGAACCAAAAAACAAAATACTCGAGAGCCCTGGTCGAGATTTTTTCACTTTGATATCATGGCAGTGAGTTCTCGTACGAGTTTGGCAGCAACCATTGCAGTCATCCCGTCAACTGTGTCTCGTTGTGGATTAAACTCGACAACATCACCAGCCACAACATCTCCTTTGAGGTTTTGGAGTATGTTAAGAATGTCTCGAAACGAGAGGCCACCTGGCTCGATGTGGGACACTCCTGGAGCAAATGCCGGGTCAAGGCTATCAAGATCCACCGATATGTATACCCCTTTTACACCTTCACCGAGTTTCTACCAGCCAAAAAGAAAAAGAAGAAAAGAAAAAAAAGTTAAAACCAATAAAAAATCGTGTTTGTTTGCAATTGTTTGCTCTTTTTTTTTAATCACTTTTCGAGCAATTTATGTGATGTAGTACCAAGTTCTCTAACATTTGGCGATCCCTTGAAAACGTGCGCATTTCATATTGCTCGACACCGAACCGTTTTCCTTGCTCACGGCCTTCATCTGTTATTGATCTGATTCCTACCTGCAGCAGGCAAGAATATATAAATGTTTTGAATTTTGATATCAATTTGACTTCCTTTTTCGATCGTCTGAAGTAATTTCTCAGACAAATAAACATGTTTCGATTTATTTTAGCGAAATTTTACTTCTAGATGCTGCGAAGGATAATAATTAATATGACAAGTTACTCGACATCAGCTTCAAAGTGAAAAACGGTGGTTCTTGAAGTATTTAAATGAAAAAAAATATGAAAATTCTCTGTAAATGGAGCTTGAACAGGCCAACAAATTTAATTATTTTTACCTGCAACAATCGACGAGCATAACCTCCTTCCATTATCCTAGCAAACGAGGATGCATGAGAGTATTTGTTCCCTTCAAATGCATCATAAATGTCTGGATGAGCATCGAGATGAAGAATATCAAGGGGCCCACCGAGTTTTTCAGAGACAGCTCTCACCACAGGAAAGGAAATCGAGTGGTCGCCCCCTAGAACCAAAGGCCGCAATGGATCCTAGAAAAAAAGAATGGATTAAGTACAAAAATATTTGAAATGATTTTACAGAAAGTAAAGAATACGAAACATAGACAAAAAGATCCTTAAAAAAATACATCCTTAAAAAGATCCTTAAACATACTTGTTCCATGACTAACTTCACTGATTCGGATATGATGCCCATAAGTCTATCATCATCTACACCACAGTCTCGTAATTCTTGAACGGGCACATCACCAACATCCGTTAGGACACGTGGATCGTTAAGATCTTTACCTGCCGAGTCCCATAATTGTTATCAGATAAAAGAAAAAAAAAAAAAAAATTGAATATAAGTTGTGAAGCCTCAATCTTTAGTTTACAATTTAAACAGTATGGCTTTCTAAATCATAAGCTGTCACAATGAGAGCACTTGCAAGAAAATTATTTAGAACATAGAAACCGTACACTAAAAGCACGAAAGGCCATTACTTAAGAACCGGGTTTTCTTGAAAAAAAATAAAAAGCCATGAAGGTGGAATTAAAGAGGCATATATCTTGTTATAGTTACCTTGTTCAGTTGAGGAATTTGTGCTCCCACACCAAATGGCCTCTCTTATACGAGGAGGCGCAAATGCGGGCCCTTGGAGAAATGAAGAATTGTGTCCTAAAGGAACTCCAAGTAGAGATGACGATGCCTTTACACCACCCAAAGCTCGTAACAGTTCCCCCTGCCATAGATTAAATTTTTACGCGCTGTAAATGCGATCAATCGAGAACAATCACTTCTAAGGTGAAGGGGCAAAACTCAAAAGCTAACATCCTTTTTGAAATACGACACCTTTTTTGAAACCGAAATCTATCATAATATAGAGACAAAGCAAACTCTCACACTCCACACCAGAAAAGCAGTTGAAAGACTCATAGTAGACATTACAATTTACATGGACTCGCAGTTTTACAGAACATTCAAAAATTTTGCCGGGAAAATGTTAAATGAAGTTAATCAGATTATACCTTGAGCTTTGCTCTTTCACGGATAAGAGTCAGAGATGCCTCGATAACACGATTTTGGCCGTTCTCTATCAGTGCCTTGGGAACATTAGCGGCGTTCAGCTTCTTCAAGTAATGGATTCCCATTTTTCCAAAGTTCATCATCTTCTGGATTCTAATGTTTCTACTCAAAGACCCATAAATGCTTTAATGGTGTGTTAAAACTTGAAAAAGATTCAAACTTGAATCTTTTTATAAATGCTATAGCCAAAAGATTTAACTTTTTCAACTCCCTCATCCACAGATAAGCATTATTTAGCAGTTCCATCCAAAACCC